ATTTTAAAAAATGAATGAATAATAAAATAAAAATAAAACAAATCTAAAATACAAACAATTCCAGTTCTGATGGATAAAATAACATCCGGCCTTATTTCTCTCTGAAATGTCACATTACTGAAGTAAAATGGGTTGTGAATGGCGTTTAATGTGGCTAGAGAACACTGAAAACAGAAAGGCAGCATCACGGCACTAACAGACACATGCTGATTTGATCACTGGAGTGATAATGTGCTAGATGGATGCGTTTGGGGTTACAGGGCCAGAGACCAAGATGAGAATCAGGGTGGAGGGACTCGTTTTACAGAGGCACAGGGCAAAGTCTGGACAGGCTATTATACACACACACACACACATGCGCGCGCGGGACGGCAGACATCTGCACCTGCGGCTCTGACCCGTCTCTGAGTGTCTGCTGCTGTCATTATGGGTCCTGTGAGGTCAGGGAGTGTCTCTGCCAGCGTGCCAGCCGTCAAATAATCACAGCCTGTGTCCATGTGCCCCGCTTCACTCGTCACATGATATAATTATTAATATAAAAACAACCGCAGCAGTACAAACAAAAAAACCTGCAATATCTGAAGGCACCACAAGAATCCAGAAAATCCCGTGCAACGCCACACGCAACCACAGCTAGAGAAATACACACATTCAACACTGGAGATCAAAATACACCCCTCACGGATCGCAATGCTAACAAATCACGCACTTCTCCAGAAACACATCATAACATTACATCTTTATTTCTTTACAGAACGATGACATTTTCTGACAGCTACAGCATGTGTTGGGCGAGCTGGGCGAACGTCAAACCACTGGCACTGAACACGACTTTCACTGCATGAACCTTCTGCCTGATGCTTAACTGCAGACGTGGAACTGCGGTTTCAGCATGAGGTCGTGACCCCGCAGAGGTCAGCAGTGACATTTTTGGAACCATTACATCATCTTCATATTCCATTTGAATGTCGTTTCACACCTGCATTATTTTTCTTTATTGTTCAGAGTGGTTTTTGAGTTGCATGTTGACATGTGGTTTCTAGGATATTCTCGATGGTTACTAGGTGGTTACTTACTGGCCTGAGTAAAATGAGTCCACCCTCAAGTCTCAGTGATTTTCTGCTCTTGTAAACATGGATCCGGCCCCTCCTTCATTTATGTCTGCAGCACAAGCGGTGCAGGGCTTGCACAACAACCTGTTAAAAAACATAACAACATAACATAACATAACATAACATAACATAACATAACATAACATAACATAACATAAACATAATCATAACATCATAACATAACATAACATAACATAACAAACATAAACATAAACATAACATAACATAACATAACATAATCAGCAGCTTAAACTGGCATAAGAAGGTTTGCTGGTCTAAACAAACAACCAATTAACATCTTAAACAGGCCTGTGATGGTTTACTTTATTTTTTAATTAAAATAAAAAAGGAAACAAAACAAAACAATTAACAGCCTAAACTGTTAAATGTTTTGCTGTTCTAGTCTAGTCTAGTCTAGTTTAGTCTAGAATAAAATAAATAAAACAAAACAAAACAAAAGCTTAAACTGGCATAAGAAGGTTTGCTGGTCTGTTTTAAAACAAAACAAAACAAAAAAGCAAAACAACAGCTTAAACTGGCCTAAGATGCGCTGGTCTACTTTTAAATAAATGAATTAAATAATTAAAACTAACTTCTTAAACTGACATAAGATGGTTTACTGGATCTGGATCTTCCAGATAGACCATCTGAAAAGTGTCCAAAACCCTTCTAATTTTTTTAGCAGCATAAGTTTAGGTTAGGACACTCAAATCTCTCTTTTCAGTTTCAAACCTGAAGGTTGGTGTTAGTAACAATCTAATGGCTGCTGATCTGAGGCTGAAAGGTTGGTTTATTGGGCACCAATGTGGGGCCGGTTCTCCCAGGAGCCTCTTTCTCAGTGTGACGTCTCCGTCTAGGGGCTGTGTTGCAGGCCTGAAAGAGAAATGGAGAAAACAGAGGTGTGTTAGCAAAATCTGTCAACCAAACAACTGTCACACACATAGACACTGAGTTTTGTCATTTGACTTTGTGTATTATCCGTTGCTCAGAGGTTAACCTAATAATGTTATGCATCATGTAAGTATCAACATTCTTCTCAGATGTTGCATCTTAAACTCCTAAGGTGAAATAAAAATACACACAAAAGTCAAAAATGGTTATACAGTAAGAGTATAAAGCCATACAATTAATTAGGATAGCAGCTCAGATCATTTGTGTTTGGGAAATTTTAAGAAATGTTTGAGTTCATATTATTAATATGCATCTTTTCGAATATTGAGACATTGTAGAGATGTTTTCTGGTGTCTTTTTCACAGGAGAAATATCTGAGAAGCAGCAGACTTCAGCAAGTCTCCATTTGCTCTTCATTTATTCTCATTACATTCTTAGGGAAACAATTGAGTTAAAGATATTGTTTCCTGTGGATCTGAATCTGCACATGAAGCCGAGTGCTGCTCCTGCAGGCCGTGTAACACAGAAGGAAACGTCCCGAGTGTTTTACCGCTGCCACAGTAAATCATCTCTAATGAATGAAAGGTTGAACAACCCTTCGGCCCGGCATATATCTGCACGAGAGGAGTGCCGTAGATCCCCGAGCCCCAGAGAACCCAGGAATTCTGATGTTCCTTCCCGAACAGAATGGATAAATCTCACGCTCCTCCAGAGCTGCTTGTGTTTCTGTTCACCTCCAGAGAAAAACACCCACAGACGAGAGTGGAAAAATTAGAGAAACGCACTACAGTCTCTAATAGACTAAAACTGCCCTTGCATATTTAAATAAGAGCAATGTTACAGCATTTTAATGCATAATTTTTTTACTTTTTAATGCACTTTTATATCATTTTGCTAAAAAAAAAACTTTAAAAAGAACACCTTAGCAACACCCTGGCAACCGCTCTAGCATCATAGCAACCATATTATATTGACTTGGCAACACCGGAACAGCTTAAGATTGCTTGGAATCACTCAGAACACTTTAGCAACACTTCTAGCAACCACTCTAGCATCACAGCAACCATATTAGAGAGGCTAGAGTAACACTGGAAAAACTTTAAGATTGCTTGGAATCACTCAGAACAGCTTAGCAACTGCATAGCAACACTCTAGCAACCAATATAGCAGCGTAGTAACCATATTATAGAGACTTTGCATAACTATAACAACTCAAGCTTAATTGGATTCACTCAGAACATCTTAGAAACTGCATAGCAACACCCTGACAACCACCCTAGCATCATAGCAACCATGTTATAAAGACATTGCTCAATTAGAACGCCTCAAGATTGCTTGGAATCACGCAGAACACCTTAGCAACTCCATAGTAACACCCTGACAACCACCCTAGCAGCATAGCAACCATATTATAGAGACTTAGCACAACTGAAACACCTCAGGATTGCTTGGAATCACTCAAAATAACTTCGCAACCACATAGCAACACCCTGACAACCACTCTAGCATCACATCAACCATGTTATAGACACTTAGCACAACTAGAACCCCTCAAAATTGCTTAGAGCCACTCAGAATACATTAACAACTGCATAGCAACACCCTAGAAACCACTATAACAGCATAACCGCAATATCACAGAGAATTGGTAACACTGGAAAAACCTCAAGATTGCTTGGAATCACTCAGAACACCTTAGCAACTGCATAGCAACACTCTAGCAACCACTATAGTAGCATAGTAACCATATTATAGAGACTTGGTATCACTGGAACATCTCAAGAGCAATTAAATCACTCAAAACACATCAGCAACTGCATAGTAACACCCTGACAACCACCCCAGCATCATAGCAACCACATTATAGATACTTTGATTAACTAGAACACTTCAAGATTTCTTGAAGACACACAGAACACCTCAGCAACTGCATAGTAACACCCTGGCAACCAGGCTAACATCATAGCAACCAATTTTTCAAGGCCAAGCCACTCATTTATCCATAAAATATGTAAATATCTAGGTACCGCATTAAAAGGCTGTGCATCAGCACTATATGGCGCTCTTGACACAATAAAGCTTTGTCTAGACGACTTTAAAACCATTGAGTTCCTGCAGATTAGAAGGTCCAATTAATCTAGTAGAGTTGGCAGAGGTACAGGAGACAGAAGACAGGCCTCTAAAACTGTGGTCAGGCTTTTGTGGAGAAAAACATGCATTAAAACTACATTGGAATAGGAGGGAAATGTCAACAAATGTTATACCAAAAAATAGCACTTTAAAACAAAATATAGCCCAGTCACGGCTCTCTCCAGCGGCAGGAGGGGCTGTTTATTTGTGTCATCACTCAAGAGCGACTGTGGTAGGCACAGCGCAGGATGATACTGCTGTAAGGTTATATGTAGGATTATTTTGAAATGACACACAGTGGTTTTCACATCAGCAGGATGTGTGTGAGACGACTATCACACTCACACACACACACACTCACACACACACACACAACAGGGTGGGCTGATGGCAGGTAATGCCCCTGTGTCACTGCGGCAGAAACCCCAAGAGATGAGAGCTGGGCAGCGTGTCATGGAAACCAAACAAAATCACGGTAAATGTGAGAATATAACAGCAGCGATGAGATAATAAAGATAAGCAAAAGAAATTAGCATAATGAATTATTTCCCCTAATGTTGTTCCAAACCCGCATGAGACACACAAGGAGAAATTTTAAAGAATCGTCATGCTGCTTTTTTTTTTTTTTTTTGTACACTGAAAAAGTACTGGGAACAGAGACAAATAAATAACATTAAAAAAAAATAAACAATAAACATAAAACAAACAGTAAATAGTCCAAAAAATACAGTCCAGATGACTCGTGCAGTGTGTTCCAAGTCTTCTTGGAAAAGTGACATGCCAGTTTCAAAATGCAAAAGTGTAAATAAAATAAATTACACAATATAAATATAGCAATATAAACAGTAAGTAGTCTAATAAATATTATCCAATTGACTCATGCAGTTTAATCCAAGTCTTCTTGGAAAAGTGACATGCCAGTTTCAAAATGCAAAAGTGTAAATAAAATAAATTACACAATATAAATATAGCAATATAAACAGTAAGTAGTCTAATAAATATTATCCAATTGACTCATGCAGTTTAATCCAAGTCTTCTTGGAAAAGTGACATGCCAGCTTCAATATGCAAAAGTGTAAATGTTAATAAAATAAAATAAAAACCACATAAACATAATAAAAATAAATATCTATTTATTTTATTAAAAAAAAAACTATTACAATTATTAAATACATTTTAATTTGATCAAATTCATTAAAATATAATAAAATAAATAGTAGATATAACATAATATAATCATATATAATAAAGTCTTCTTGGAAAACATGACCGTTTTAATATGCAGAAGTGTAAATAAAATAATAAACAATATAAATATAACAAAATAAATAGTATTATAGACTAGTTGATTCATGTCTTTTTGG